AGAATTGCTGGACCGGAGGAGTTGGTCTGACGACTCAGTCAGAGTAGTGCGACAGAAAAATACGGTCATGGACCCCGCGAGACCCAGGACCCAGAACGGCTGTATCTGAAACCGAAAATTACCAGACCAGACAGGGAAAGACAATCGTGAGTCGAAGTCTGCAGTTGCAATTGGTGGTTACGCGTTAAGAACGGAAGCAGAGGGATCTTCATTGTTAGAAACAGCTGTCAAGCAATGACTAGTGAAGACACAGCAGACCGAGAGAACTTAGTGTGTACTTCTGTTATTTGTAGAGTGTGCAGACTAGCAAGAGTGTTATAATTATCTGTAGTTACAAGCCATAAGCTTTCAATAAATCCAATAATAATCCAAATCCCGTGTCCATTCACTAACATATGACAACATATTGCAGTCCCCCATTTGCCATGGCAAAAGCTGCATTTAGCAAGAAGAAGAATCTTTTTACCAGCAAATTGGACTTAAATTTGAGAAAGAAACTAGTGAAATGCTACGTTTGGAGCATGGCTCTGTATGGGACTGAAACTTGGACACTTAGGGCAGTAGATCAGAAACGCCTGGAAAGCTTCGAAATGTGGTGGTGTTGGAGAAGGATGGAGAAGATCAGTTGGACCTATTATGTGAGAAATGAAGAAGTGTTAATTAGAGTCAGTGAGCAGAGGAATATCCTACACGAAATAAGAAAACGGAAGGCTAATTGGATTGGTCATATCTTACGCAGTAACTGCCTTCTAAAAGAAGTTATTAAAGGAAAGATAGAGGGGCGGATAAAGTGACCAGAAGACGAGGAAGAAGACGTAAGAAGATGCTGGATGACCTTGGGGACAGAAGAGGATATTCTCATTTGAAGGAGAAAGCTCTAGATCGCATTAAGTGGAGGAACTGTTTTGGAAGAGACTGTCGTCTGACATATTACTGATGATGCCATCAAAATGTGTGAAATGAATTCGCAAACAGCTACACATCCAAGTGCATAGTTAGCCATGCTGTAAGATGCTATCAAGATGTGAATTCACATAACACCCATGCATTCGTTAACAATATTGACCAACCAAATAACAGGTACAATTAAAAGATTTATGAATGATACGAAGCAAGCGGTTTATTTTACCCAAAATAAAGTTTTTCTTTTCTAACACTGTCGGCCTCTGTGGTCTAATGGTAAGAGTTCCTGGCTACAGATCCTGAGGTCCCATGTTCGATTCCCGGCGCTACCAGATTTTCTGAGAAGTAGTGTGTCTGGAACGGGGTCCACTCAGCCTCGTGAGCATAATTGAGGAGCTACTTGAATGGAAAAATAGCGGCTCCGGTCTAGAAAACCGAAATTAACGGTCGTGGGGATTCGTTGCGCTAACCACGCGACACCCTCTATCCGCTGAAGTTGGTACTAACTTCGCCTACAGGCGGCGGTAGCTCGGTTGGTATAGTTCACTTGCGGACTAAAACCACAGAGGGTTTTCTTTGTCGGCGTTTTAATAGCTGGTGTAACGGATGTTACCAGAAACAGGTGAAGGAAGAGCATATTGTCTCGCCCTCCGACCTCCACCGGTTGACAACAAATTGTCTTGGTTACACTATTCTTTACGGTGTTAATATCAAATACCAAGGCGAAGTTTCTCCTGCTGCTCAGAGCGCCAAGAGCAGAAAAACCATGGCTTCTATTTGTGAATGTAATCCAGAAGTTTCGAAAAGCGGTACACATGTGTGCCCAACTATATATCCAGGCGGACACGGCACACGGCTCTAAAAATCGGTACTGTACCGTCAAAATCGGACGTCTGGGATCCCGAAGTATGGAATGAGGATGATGGGGATATTGGGCGAGGGCGGTATTGAGCGACTCCAAACCTCTGCGTTGTGTTCCAGGCGCTGCAGCCTGGCCTGGCACGGGACCAAGCGACAGTGGTTCCAACGAGAGGTTCTTAGCTCGATTACCGCTGACAGCAGGTTACGTAACGTAACAAAGGCATGAGTGGAACTGACAGGACAGTAAACACACTTTCGGCTAATAGATCTTGATAAAACATACAGACGAAGCATACTTGACTATCAGGAAAACTGTAAAAGAAACCCACATACGAAGAATGCTGAGAAATAACAGCGAAAATTAGCACTGCATTATAAACCCATTCGCAAAATTAACGGAGGTCGTCGCAGAAAGAGATGGAAAGGCAAATCCTTGAATGAGAGCTAATGAAACAAGCTTCATAAGACAAAATACCAGGCCAGTTTAGGAAAAGGTCCTGGAAGACGATTTCCCTATAGTCCATGGGTCCAGCTTATTACTTACTGCAGTTCGATGTCCATCTCACAGGCCTACTATATAATTTCTGGTCTCTAGAAGATGCTCAGCCGGTCACGGTAGCCGAGTGGTCTAAGGCATGCACTGTTTTCGCTCGCACGGAAGCCGGGAACGTGGGTTCGAATCCCACTCAGGGCATGGATGTCTGGTGTTTGTGTACAAGTAGAGACCTTGCTACGAGCTGATCACCCGCCCAAGGAGTCCTACCGAATATCTAAGCTCTAGTAAACCGAAGTGAAACGGAGAGTTTCACGGAGGTAGGCCAAGACCCAAATTGGGGCTGTAGCACCAACATGAAAAAAAAACGCAAGACAATGTTATCCCTGGGCTTAATTAAGTAAGCACCATGCCATGCAGAGAGATGGGAAAGTGAAGGCCTACCATTCTGAACCTCGACACTAAGATGGTGGTGAGTGGTCAGCTTCGTGACCCTGCCGTTTACCGCAGGTATCCACTGTACAGGTGGCTGAGTGAACCCGAGAATCGGTTTGAACGTTATGAAGAAACGAAAAATTTCTTGTCCCTGCCGAGAATCGAACCCTCCAACTCCTCTGACTTCCAGGCCACTGTCTCGACACTATACCAACTGAGCTATCCCGGCTTCTAATTCTACTTAACAATTCCTTAGAAAACACAACGTGAACAAGGCCGTCTCTTTTACGGACCGGAGGATCTGCACACCTACATTACTTATCTCCACTGTCAGATCTAGCCGTGGCTGCTGGGCTGAGGATGTGTGAGGTACGGAATGAGAAGTTGGGGGCTCTGGGTGGGTGCTTAGATATATCGGCTGAAAGCTCTGGGTAAAGAAGGCGACACATTCCAACTACGGAGCTTCTCTCGTCCATTCAACACATCACCCTTAAACCTTCAAAGCCTAGTGGTTATTGGGCTATATATACTACAGGTTTTATCGTTCAAAAACTTCGCACTTTGCTAATGTATTCATGCGTTTTGGTTGATTCTCAGAATAAACAACAAGTATTTCCTTAAAAATCACTGACCGGTTGGGGTGAAGTGCAGCCTGTGAAGCAGAAAATAAACTTTTAAGGCTTATTTTGATGAACTTCATACAACAGAGAGTTAATCCGTACTCTCTGTCAATGGATTCCGCCAACCCACAGTGCAATCAAACTACACCGACTATGTTTAAAAGAATGGGACCGCACCTGTGATGTAGCAGTAGATTATTCCTGTCTGTCACGTATGCATAAACGGGACAGAGTAAAAGATAACACGTATACAACCGATGAGCAATTAATGGGATATGTGACGTCATTTCCGTACAAATGGGTGACCTCTTCCATTGCTAAATTCGGTCAAATGCAAGCATTAGATCCTTTCTGGTAGAGCGATAACATTCTTGGGAATGTGTCGCTCCAACAAGCCAATATAATTCCGTACGCAATTGAAGGATGGATTCAACATGCTGAGGACATAAAGAACGCGAGGGTAGACAAAGATAAAGCTGTATCTCATCAGAACAGCTGCCAACCTGATGGAACGCCCCATACCATACAGCAGAACAGTATACGGAAATTAGAAACGAAAAGGGAAATGAACAGTCTGTCCGTCCACAACTCGGCTCCGAATGAACGGATTATTATGAAAATCTGATATAAAAAAACAATATGTCAAAAATTCTTGATCAAATTAATTTGGAGTTAAACCGGTATATTAATGCTGCTACCAGATAGTCATGACTGCCTCTGTGGTCTAGTGGTCAGAGTTCCTGGCTACAGGTACAAAGGTGCCGGGTTCGATTCCCGGCGCTACCAGATTTTCTGAGAAGTGGGTCTGGAACGGGGTCCACTCAGCCTCGTGAGGATAACTGAGGAGCTATTTCAAGGAAA